ACACGGCTCAGGCAAACGTAAGCGGCTTGTCGCAGAAACCAAGGGGTCCACGAAACGCGCTAGGCTGGAAGGCGGGAAGGAGAAGTTACTGACAGCCGCGCCAGCCAATAAAACGGAAATGTGGGAAAGGTTCTTCAGGCCCCTTCCCAATCAGGACACTTGGGTGGTGAGGGGAGCGAAGGCGTGGGATGGGACCTTGGTCCAGCTGGGACTGGAGTGGCGACAATTTTGGCTTGTCTGAGAAGGGCATTTGAGTGACCGTTTACAACCGGTGGGACAGCGTCCGGTCTGGGGTTAGAATCCAAACTGTATTCTTCCAGGACTTCTAGCTAGGTGTGTTAGTTTTTATTTCTAAGAGTTAGGTAAAAGACATTAGTTAACATCTGATAGGCGACTTTCAACCAGGAGATTTATCATAGAGGATTTCTTAAATCGCAGTATGTGACACCGTCAGGGGACTTATAGTGTCACTCGCCGCCTTAAATCCTTTCGGTAACAAGCCAGGATATAAATAAATAAAGCTAGATGTGGGTCTCCACAAAGCTCTGTTAGGCAGGCTTAATACAGGCAACAGCTGAGTGTGCACACAAAACTAAATATTGAACGAAATATGAATGTAGGAATAAAATTCATGACGATGTGCACAGTCTTGGATTTCACAGATCTTGGATCTATCACGAACCTGTACCTCAACCCTAAAACACCCGGGGAGGGGGAATCTAAAGTAGCTGGAATAAACTCTTAGAGGTCCTTGGAAATTATCTAAATCAAGTCCTTCATTTTACAGATGAGTAAACTGACTCCTGAAGCATTTTGTTCAAGGTCATTCATCAAGTTAGTAGTTTTAATTAACTCAGTGTGATAGGAAGCAGGGAAAAGCAGTGGGAAAACCTGGCCTTCAGAGGCTGAAATCGTGGTTTCAGGTCCTTGCAAACTATTCTCATACTGTATCTTGGGCAAATTCCTTATCGCGTTCCCATTTATTAAATTCTTACCATGTGGCAAGCAATCCACTTTACATACTCTATCCATTACAATACAGTATATCATTTATTATTAGTATCCCCATTTTATGAGGCAGTTTCGGCTTAAAGATATTAGTAATCTACTCAAAGGCACACAGTTATAAACATCATCGTAATAATTCAAACTCAGCTCTTGCAGATTCCATGTCCTGTTATCTTGAATACTGCAAGGCACTAGAGCTTCAGGTTCCTCCCCACATAAAGCAGGAACTCCAACTCCAACTCCAATCCCCATGATTTGTAGAAGTCAAAAGAGAAATATATATGTGGTGAAGTGATCTAAACTGTAAAAAGATAAACATACTAGATTTCTGGAATGAATATGCTTGCTACGCTAGTACTTCAACCTGAAAGATGACTGAACTAGCATAAGGAGGGACTTCATTATAATTATATGGTAGGATATATATATCCTAACAAATATTACATGCATGTCTCAGGCAATAACCAAAGAGAATGGGGGGCAGCGGGGAGGGGGGGGGATGTTAATTCCTGATAGATTGCAAAGGGAATGGGAAAAAAATACTAATCATACTTAGTATCCTTTAGTGGAAAAAACAGCTAGGAAATATTGGGATTCCTGGTGCCTTTTAAGTAAGGAAAGAGAGCAATCTGCTGAATGAAGAACAGAATAACGTTTAGTTTGGGAGGACAAGTTCATCTGGACTAGGAGAAAAACATTTGCCTCAATTAAGAAGATCTGCTGCGAAGACCTGGGATAAAGGGAAAGCAGGTGAGTTAGTGCATAATTGTGCATATTCCAAAGCCAGGAATTTCAATCTGACATATAATGTTGTAAACCATGATATAGCCTTCATGACCAAAAGAAAGAGGATTTATTTATACACAAAATTAGGTAAAGAAAGGAGGTTGGATAAGAATAAAAACAGAGCTTGAAATATGTGGTAGTCAAGATAATAAAAGGCTAATCCCAAAAACCGTGCAAAGTGTTCTACGTATTACAAAAATTCATAAAGACATTTTAAATGAAAAAAAAATTAAGAAAGGACTGGCATCTGGCCCTAGATTGTTTTGAAAGAATAACATACAAGGAACAAAGACAATTGAAAGACAAAGATAACTCAAAAATATATTGCATTAAAGCTCAGGCATAGTATTCAGTAGAGTTTAGTTCTGAATTGTGAAAAGACTGAGTTTGAAATTGTAAAATCACAAGTCACTGTATTTCTATGGTATTTATTTGACCCTATTTCTTTAATATTTAAACAGTACCTACCACTCCATGGAGCTCAGTAGCAGAGAACAGCATTTTTAATGTGAAAGGAACATTTAATAGTACCTAGCTATGATATGACAGGAATTAGACTCTCCCAAGACATGATCAGACATCTAAAGGAGTAGTCTATGAATCACTTTGGTCAATGAAAGTTGTCATAAACTACATATTAGTTAACCTTATATTCCTTACTATGTTTTATTTTTTTCTTTAAAAATTATGATTCTATATTATTAGTAGTACCTGTACGCTGCAATTCTCAGAATATGTAAAATAGATATTTTACCTATTGTCTGTTTAATCAGATAACAAATAAAAGAACAGCACTCACCAGTCTGTTAATATTCATTGTGATGTACCTTTAATAAACTGAAGGCACTTTTCAAAAATATAATAGAAGAACTTAGCCTTTTAATTCTCCAAAACGAAATAAACTTTTATTTTTAATTAACTCAGCAATTGAAACCTGCTAATTTAATATTTTCTAACACCATAAGACACTCTATAACTTGTGTGTCTTTCGTTGCTAATTAAGTTATAAACATAAGCAACTCTGGTAGAAAATATTATTGTAAAGAATAAAATCTCCATTCTTAATTGACTTCCATCGACGATCCTTTCCCTTTTTCTTTTTGGCTGACATAAAATAATCTATTTTCAGTAGCAATGATTAGCTTCCATGAGATATTCCTAAACCCATTTAGGGATAGGTATTTCTAAACCCACAGATTAGGAATATTCCACAAATATTCCTAAACCCACTTATTTTTCAAGCTCCTACCTTTCCTACAATCCTGTTATTGATGAACGTAAATTCTCTACCTGGATGTTTCTTCAGATGAAGCTTTGGAAAATATTTCCTGAATTTGTGTCCCACCAGAAGTACACCCAGAATTGAGGATTCAAGTGCAAGTAGACTATTTTGTAAGTGATTTCAGGAAGCATAGTAGGGGCAGGGCAATCTAAGACAGAGAAGGGCAGGAAGGCAATAAAGGGTGAATTACTAAGCAGTAATGTGATTTCAAGAGGCATAGTAGGGACACGGGAATCTTAAGACGGGAAAGGACAGAAAGGCAATAAAGGGTGAATTACTGAGCAGGTTATCACCATGAGCAAACGGAGCTTAATATCTCTGGGATTTCTAGGGAACCAGATTAAAACACTAGGTTTAAAGCAATCCTACAAAGTGTGAGCAAGCTGAGGTATACATACACTAACTCCCCTTAACCATTGAGCAAGATCCTTTCCTAGGATAATTAGTTCAATACATGTCGGCCAATCTTCCGACTACCAGTGCTGCATTTTTTTTTTCTGAGTACTTTCATATAGTGGCTGCAGTTGGCTTTATCCTTCACTGAACAGAAATGCTGTGGAATTAATACACCCA